TGATGTCTTTTGAGTTAAATTTTTCATAAATAATTGAGTACTGTCCAAGGGATTTTTGTAGTAACACAGCTATGTTTCAAAAATCCTGTGTTCATATATAGCCCTTAATCTTCAAAAAAGCACATAAGATACACAGCCTTGGCTTTCCTGTGACCCATATGTTGGTATAAGGGCTCATGTAAGGCCCTCCCAAGAGACGTTTCCCAGTTGAAATGTCTTTAAATTCCAGGATTCAAGAGTAACTCTACCCTGGGTAAAACTCGCGAAGCAAAAATCAGTTTCTTGAAAGGTGAGATAGGAAATCAGAGCCTTGCTAATGGCCTGGAACCGAGACTTCCCAGCGCAGGACAAAGTTAGGGCTGCGACTGTAGCAAGCAATGGGAAACCAACTTGAAAGAAAGCCAGGCCCATCCCAGAGGTTTCCGAGCCCCTGGGCCCCCATCACTGGGAGGCTGCTTTCGGGTGGAGGTGGACTGGGCTTGTTTGGGCTCCCGGGCGTGGGTGGGCGATCCAGCGTTGCAATTTCTCAGACCTCTCGCCAGGCTGCATGGGTGAAATGTGGGCAGGACCCCCCCAGGAAAAGTAAAAGCTCCTGATAATGTGGGGATTATTCCCAAATGTAACCTCCTAGGAAAAAGCTTTTTTCGCAATTTATTGCTGCGGGGAGCTAAGACTGCTTCCCTCTCTATAACCGTGGTTTTTCCTGCCGTCTTCATTGAGTGACGACAAGTGCAGTCCTGGTACAGTTGGTATCACTGCCCATCAAATTTTCACTGCGCTTTTCCAAACAAAAGGGGGAAAGTACAAATTTAGGAGAGGCTTCCTCTTCCACCTCCATTTCTTGTGCCCATGCCATTTCATTTGGGATGCAGAATAGAATAATTTATTAAATTGTCACCTCTGCCTTTAGCAGTCACTTCCATTTTAGCAAGCCTTCTAGGAACCTTGTAGGTTTTTCAGATGCCTTTCCAACTCTCCCAGCAGTGCTCCTCCAAGGCCATGGCAGGGAGATTCCAGTGGCAGACCTGTTGCATGTTATCATATCACAGCCTTTTGCAAATAACACCTCTTTTGACCTTGTGTATTTTCCTCCCATGATACCTACTAGTTAGTGTAACAGCTATGGCAGTCTTTGTCTTTTATTTCAGTAAAATAATGTTTCTTTTACAGAATTGTTCCTAAAAAGTGCTCCCAAAAGGAATCAGAATTGTAGATTATTTATAGGTACCCCGTGTGGCTGCATATTTAGAGAAACTGATTTTGATGGCCCCAGGGATTCTATTAATAAGAAAAGTCTCCAGACCAGCACACTCTGAGCTGGCTCCAGCAGGCTGGTTGACACTGGTTAAGGCCCCTTCCTGAATCCTGCCTGTGAAGTACCAATTCTGGGTGTAGGAACAGCCTTGCTGGAGGGGTGGGAGTGCCTGGTTGCCAAAGGGAAGTGGCTAAACTGATGGGCTTTAAGGAATTGGCTGAACCCAGACACTAGGCAGAGAAAGGTAAATACACATCTTAAAATGTGTATTGTCACTCTCTCTTTTCTTTTTTCTTCTTTGTAAGTATGTAAGTCTGAAGCCAGGCTACCTGTGATTTTGTAATTTTTAACGACATCTCTGTGTTTCTTCATCTATAACTGAAGATGAAAAAACACCTGCCTGCAGCTCTTACGAGAATTACATGAACATACCTGGTTCATAGAAGTGCTATCCAGATAGTTATTGTAATTTTTTCTTCCTTATCTCCCTGGGATGGTCTGTTTTACTTACTGACTTACTCATTTTTACAGTGATTTCTTCATAAATTCATGTGTATAATTTTTTTTCTCTTGCATATAGTCAAAAAGTAACCTGGCAAAAAAAATTAGCTCTGGGAGAAGAGGGAGAATATTTCTCCAGTGCCACCTAGGAATACACCACTGAAATGTCAGTTACATAAACTCTTTCCTCTATATGAGAGTTGTAAATGTTAAGCTTTGACATTTTGTAGTCTTCTGGAAGTTCTAGAAATAAGGGACTCTTTTTTTTCCTTCCATCAGTAGTACTGAGAATGGAACCTACATTCTCTAGCAAGCACTCTACAACTGAACTACAAACAAACAACAACAACAAAAAAAAAACTCACTGGGATTAAGATATGCATCCTAAGTGCTTAGCAGAGTCTGGCTCAGTGAGGCTGGAGCAAAAAGAAATCTAACTCAGTTCTGCCATTTCCATGATTTTTATTGTTTATGAGCTCCTTTTTGCTGGCCCTTGTCTGAGACGTCTTTCTCTTTCTCTCTCTTTCTCTCTCTCTCTCTCTCTCTCTCTCTCTCTCTCTCTCTCTTCACACATTTGGAAGGAATTTTGATTCTTTGGGTGTTGGCCAAATTTATCAATGTTTTCATTTATGACCTCTGGATTTGGGCTCATTATTAGAAAGGCCTTTCTACTCTGAGGTTATAAAAGGCACCTGCCACATTTTTCCTTGATACTTGTATAGTTTCATTTTTAACATTTACAACTTTGATTTATTAGGACTATTTCCTGGTTTGTTGAGTGAGGTTGGAATCCAATTTAATGTCTTTCCAAATGATTACCCAGTTCTCAACTTCTTACGTATTTGCTTTTATCATATGCTAAATTTCTGCCTCTGACTGTGTTTCTGTTCTTTCTCTTCTGTACCATTTGTCTGTCTTGCCAGTATCACACTGTTTAAGCTTTATTGTTATTGGCAAACAGTGTTTCTAGAAGATCTTGCTCCTGGAGTTCTGGGTGGAAGAATCCAAGCAGAACCCGTGGATGGGGTGAGGTAAAATAGCTTTATTGAGGGAAGGGGAGTCACCAGTCCAGCCAGGTGAAGGTAGAGAAGAAGAAGAAGGGCCGGGGTGTTTTGGTAGGTCGTTTTTTTATATCACCTTGAACTTGGAGGTGGGGAGAGAGTCATCACCTGGCTCCTTTCACCTGTGGGCTAGGGGGAGGAGCTCCTCTTTTAGCTTTTTTTTTTTTTTTTTTTTTTTTCTGTTTTCAGGTTTTGCTTCTTTATTTTCTATGTGAATGCTAAAATATACTTCTAAAAAGTTGATATATATTTTTTTTGGAATGGTGTTAAATTTACTAATTATCCTGTTTGTTATTGCTGCTGGGGCGCCCTAGGCAAGCACTCCACCATTGTCCCAGCTCCTACAAATTAATTTTGAGATTAGTCTCAGTGCCCAGTCCTGAAGAGCCATGAGGTGACCCACCTGGAAGGCAAGACCCAGGTTCTAATGTCATCTGGACTGTTTTATCGATTGTCTGACCCTAGAAACTTTACTTGCTTCTCGGTTTTCTTATATTAGAGAGGAGGACTTTAATGTCTGCCCTGCAGGATTAAAGGAGATAAAGAGCGTAAAATACCTTCTTCTGAGTAAATAGATCCTTTCTTCAGACTCCCCATTCCTGTCGGCTCACGAACCACCGAGAGGGAAGCTTCCAGGATCCTAGAGCGGATCGCCCAGGGCCCAGCGGGATTCCGCGGAAGTCGTCGCTCTAGGCTGGCAGCTGCCCTCCATCAGTCAATTAGTCTAATCACAGTTTTCCTGGTGAGTGGCTTCTTGACTTTGCCCTAGGATTTTGCGTGGTACTTGGGCTGAACAGCCGCGAAGGAAAGAAGAGACCACGTACGGCGCCGGGGTGCCTCAGCCCTGTGTGTTCTCTCGCTTCTCTACTCTTCCCACATTACTGCCCTTTCCTCCTCTCTCAGTCTCGCCCTGTTCCCCCTAACCTGCACCTTCTTCCCCTTTCCCTTCCTCCGGACCCCGCCTCCCCCACCCCCGCTCTTACTGCGCAGGCTGAGCCGATCCCCCGAGTGGGAGAAGGGCGGCTGGACGCGCGGAGCCTGAGGCTTCGCCAGGCGGGTAGCTTGGGGCCAGTCCCCAGCCTTGGCAGCTTCTCCAAGGCTAGCAAGACCCCTGCTGTCAGGAGTGACTTCGACTCACTCGTCTAACGCGCCGGGTCCTGCGCTCTTCCTTGCCTTGGGTTTTTGTTTTGGTAGAATGTCGCAGCACTGGGATTTAATTGCTTTTGTTGTTATGTACCGAAGTTACCGGTTTGGGAGAGGAAGTGTGAAATGCTGTTTTCACCCTGTCAAGAACCACTGTTGAGACTATTCGTAACATGGAAAGGGCAGAGGGAGATAATTATTGTAACTTGAGTTTGGAGTAAAATTTTTATCAAGTTTGGAGACAACTGCGTTTATTCCCAGGGGATAAGAGAGTAGGGGCAATCCACCATGTTCTCCACGCATTAATCTATAAAGATGGAATGGGATGGTGAAGAGTTTGTCAGAATTGCAGAGGAGACAAAGCATCCCTGTTGCTAAGATACTGTTTATCATAGCAACAGCAGCTGCTGCGATTGTGACATTACAATGGGCAGTGCTTTTTTTCTCCTCATGTCTAGCTCAAGTAGTGTGGACTCCTGTGGGTGATAAAACATACCTGTCAATGACTTATGTTATTGTCATTTTTTTCAAACTTCCAGTTGAATTTCAGTTCTTTTGACATATCTATTCCCATGCTCCTTCATCTTCCCTATCTGCAAATATCTTCGATTTCTGTCCTTTTAAAAAATTTATTTTGATATGATTTTTAAAAATCTTCTAAAGTAGGAACTATGCACTATATTGTTTCAGGCTGGAGTACAAACCCAGGATCTTGTGCATGCTAGGCAAGTGCTCTGCCACTGAGCTACATCCCCAGCCAATACACATTATTTCTTATTTCTTATCCTGAAGTTCTGTTTTATATACCTTTATAGAAGACAATTAAATAGCTATTTTAGTCAGGTGGTCATTTCAGTGGTTCTGTAATGTTACTGTGTCTTGTACCAAGACTGAATGAAAATATTTGATCTGGCTCCCATATAATTGGTGTGTCTAGAAGTACTGCAAATGTTTAAGAGCTCTGGTTTAGTCTAAATCACATTATATTGCTTTAGCATCAGGGCATAAAGCACATTTGAAAAATGTGTTGTTTATTTCAGGAATCAGGACCAGAGTTGTGAACAAAGTATCAACTTCAAAGGGAAGATTCTTGTAAGGATGGACCCACACCAAAAGGTTTCTAGCATGTATAATGGGGATTCTTTACAGATTCCTGAGTATGAAAAAGTCTCACAGTATATGAACCAGTTAAAAAAGCATGAAGGCAGGGCCACAGAAGAAAGACGGTATAAATGCAGTGAATGTGGAAAAAAATTTGCCCAGAGCTCAGGCCTTGTCCGACACCGGAGAATTCACACTGGAGAGAAACCTTATGAGTGTGATCACTGTGGAAAAGCCTTCAGTGTTCGCTCAACCCTCACTGTGCACGAAAGAATCCATACTGGGGAGAAGCCCTATACTTGTAACGAATGTCAGAAAGCCTTCAGTGTGAGGGCACACCTGATTGTACACCAGAGAATCCACAATGGAGAGAAGCCCTATGACTGCAATGAGTGCGGCAGAGCATTTAGCGTGAGCTCAGACCTTATTAAGCATCAGAGAATCCATACTGGAGAAAAACCATATGAGTGTGGTGAGTGTGGAAAAGCTTTCAGTGTGAGCTCAGCCCTCATCAAACATCAGAGGATCCACACAGGAGAGAAGCCATATGAATGTAAGGAGTGTGGGAAAGCCTTCTATGTGAACTCAGCCCTTATTAATCACCAGAGGATTCACTCTGGAGAAAAGCCCTATGAGTGTGGAGAGTGTGGAAAAGCATTCAGTCAGATCTCAACCCTTATTCACCACCAGAGAATCCATACTGGAGAAAAACCATATGAGTGTGATGAGTGTGGAAAAGCTTTCCGAGGGAGCTCTAATCTTACTAAACACCAGAAAATACATGCCAAAGGAAAGTGTCATAACTGATGCATGTGGTGAAGATACTCCAGAGGCCTTTTGTTGCATCAAAAGAACAGTATGATTAAAAAAAAAATTAGTATCTTAATTGACACTTCCTCTCTTGGAATATTGGAGGAGCAAGAAGTCACTAAAAGCGGTTCCATCAGCACAGTGTTTAAGGCTGTAAAATCATATCTCCTTCATAGAATGCAGTTTTACAATCCATAAGGTAAAACCATTTAAAAATCATATTTCATAGTGGACATTGTGTTGCTTTAGTAAGAACAAACTTTAATAATTTAGACATGTTTATTACATGCAAGCTTTTTGTCATTTTTGATACCATTTTCAGAGACGAAACAATAAATTTTGAAACTGAAAGCAATGTTGGTTGATGAGAGAGGGACCATGTATCTCTATTGATCTTGCTTTGCTTTATTGTACCAGTGATGATAAGCTTCATTAGTGACCTCTTGACAGGAGGTAGATTATATCTTTAAGTAGAAATCCGTAATTCTTCATAGTTGTTCTTGCTTAGTCAAAAAAACTTGTGTCTTTTGACTTTCTGATCAAGTGAGTCCCTGAACTTGACTGAGATTCCTGAGCCAAAATGACAATCTCCTGAGGAGTTTCTTGGAAGGAACTTATAACTTCTGACCTTGCATTTAGTGTTTCTCTTAAGTGTGGTGTGGCATATGCAAAGGCTCATAGATAAGAGAGAATTGGTCAAGCTTGGGGAATTTGATTTGGGGTTAGCATTGGTTTTAAGATAACTCGAAGAGTTTATATAATTTACTAATATAACCTAATGTAATACCTAATATCAACCAGAAGAGCCCAGGTTTGAGAAGCAGTAGACAGTTAATGAGCATTCAATTTACAAAATATTTTTGTTTTATCTGTAGGAATCCCAATAGAGCTGTCCACCAGGCCATAGCTTAATCCCCACACCCTCTATATGCACATGTGAAACTCGGGAGAGGAATCTAGACTCAAAATTACTTTATTATTACTTTTCTATTTTAATAAATTTCTCACTCTTAGTTAACAGACCTGAAATTCTTTTGATCCCTGAAACTTAACTCATGAGATCCAAGATTAATACCAGTTGATAGAAATTGCAGATTGCTTTGGGCCACATTTCAAACAGGTAGAAGGAACACTGTCTGGGTAAGTGAAATGATGTTCATTTTTAGAAGAGAGCTCTGAGATGCAAAGGATTCACAGTTTTCCTGAATTCTGTTAGCACATCAGGTAGGCCAGCTGTCAGACACACTGGGCTCCATGAAGCTCTGAGTCAACATGTAACCAATAAGCACTGAGGTCACAGATGCATGTGAAAAAGTATGTTATAAAATCTCTGGCATTGTGGTAGTGCCTACTACTCTTCCCCAAGTAATGGTAGGTCTGGATATGACGGTTGAAGGCAGAGAAGGTCATGGTTCTGTAATTCAGGATTTTTGAGGGTTTTATTGCAATGTTGGTGATTAAGCCCAGGACCTCATGCATGCTAGGCAAATGCTTTCTCAATTTAAAGAGATAGAACCTCTCTCAAGACATGGAGCATGTTAGAGAAAATAAAGCACACACTTAGAGACAGAAGTGAAGAGACTCAGCAAACCCCAAAAAGTTCTCTTTGCTGTGTAAATTCCTGTGTTCTGCTTCCTTCCTTTGGCAATTGAAGGAAGGTGTGGGGTTTTTAAATGTGCTATCACTCCTTTTTGTTTGTTTGTTGTTGTTTGGTGTTTATCTTTCTGACCCCTGCTATTTGGTTTGTTCCTAGGATGGAGGTTTGCATATCGAGTCTTTTGGGAGGAGAATATCTTGTGAGGATCAGCATTGAAGTAATGCCATATCCCACCCCAAACCACAACTGTGAATATTAAGCATGAATGGTAAGTATTCTGAAGACTTCAAGGGAGCAAATATTTTGGAAAGAGAAATTTCTTTTCTTTTCTTTCTTTCTTTGGTTGTTGTTGTTAGACTGGGGTTTGAACTCAGGGCTTTGCACTTTACCACTTGAACAATAACTCCAGTCCATTTTGCTCTGGTCATTTTGGAGATGGGGTCTCAAGAACTATTTTCCCAGTCTGTCCTCAAACCACAGTCCTCTCAATCTCCGCTCCCAGGTAGCTGGGATTTTAGGCACAAGCCACCAGCTTCCACCTCAAGAAATTTTTTTTACTGAGGGGTTTACTGTGAGCAGTTCAGGGCATGTACATAATTATTCCTTGTGAGCTCAAATTATTTCCTTCAGGTTGGGCCTTATACTAGGTTCTAGGAATACAAAAATAAATGGAAACAGCACCCTATTCCTAGAAGATTCAGAGTCCATTTGGGGACTAGGCGAATGGAATAGATAGATCCATTTTATGTTACCACTTTAACTCCTGACAGCTCAGCTCTCTCCAGATCAGCTCTTGACACTAACCTGTCTCCTACTTCAAAAGTGTCATAGCAGTTCTTGGCCCTTCACATTCTAAATTTTAGAATCAATTATCAAGTTACTTATTCGTAAAAAGGGTATTTGGGATTTGTATTGGGATTATATTAGATTTATATATTAATCTGGAAAATCAACATTTTTGTGAGTCCTCTAATCCATAAACATGGCCTTTTATTTCTTTAGGATTTTTTAATACTTTTCCCAACAGTATTTTATTGTTTTCTGTGCAGAGGACGTCAATATCTTTGTTAGATTTATTCCTAAGCATTTAATATTTTTCCATGTAATTGTTAGGGTAGTCATTTTTAAATTTCACTTTCTGTTTATTTTTAAATATTGACTTTGTATCCAGCACTCTAATAATTTATATGTAGATATTTTGGTTTTTTTTTATATACCACTTACAAATAATGACAATAGTATTTCTCCTTTTCAATCTTTATATTTTTCCCCTTTGCTTTATTACACTAGAATAACTGCTAGTACCATAGTAGAAAGAAGTGATAATTGGTAACCTTGTCTGGAAGACATGCAGCTGTAGATATCTTCAGTTGTAGGTTCCCCTCTCAGTGATCCATCTTGACATTAGCCATCTCCCATACATATTGCCAACATTTTTGAGAGCTGGTGATTCCAAATGTAGGCTGACCATTCACTTCTTGGGCTACACATTCAGTAGAGGAGAAATAGTTTCTGAGATCTGCCAGTTCCTTAAGCTCAAAATAAGTCATTTTCCCATTTTTTATTCTTAGAATCTGTCCTTCTAATGGATCTGGTTTTTGTCAAATGTAGTTGATTCTCATTAGTCACAGAAGTTGTGTTCTATAAAGTTGCTGAAAACAGTGCGTTAACTAATATCCAACTATTGTTCCTAAAGGAAATACTGGGTTAGATTCCTATGATCCTTTTGCAGCGTTTTCACCAATCAAGATGTCATATGTATTGTATACATCTGTTTGCCAGCATCCTTGTAAAATAAGCCAGTCACATCAGTGTTGAAGACCACCTCTTGCACATAACTCTTTTCTTGTATAACAATGAGCAAATATTTTTTAAATGTTTCCATAGCCTCTTGATCTGTAGAACCTGCCTTGCCTTCAAACTTAACATTTTCTACTGTTAATTAGAATGATGTATGAACCAGTCAGCACTAGCTGAGGTTTTAACATTTTTCTGACCATAAATTTCTTTGTCTTTTCAAATAAGCTCTGCTGCCTCAAAATAATGCTGCCCACTATACTTTTTTTAAAAAATAAATCAGTATTCATGTTATGCATCCACAAATTTAGTCACTCTGCTATAGCTTCATCACTCACTATATTACTTGAGCACTTTCCAGGTTTCATGTGCAGATGGACAAATTTCCTCTTTGTTTTTCTGGATGTATTGAATTGTTCATTCATTAATATTATATTCATAGCCAACAGCACTATAGCTTATCCATGAATGAAGCATATCTAACATATTTTCTCTGTAAGGTACAACACAGTCTGTGTATAGGAACACTAAACCACACTTCAGCACCACACTTGTGAATCATTTTAAATAGTAGAATCACCCACAACAGAAAAAGGTACCAGTTATGCCTCAAAAGGACACTTGTTTATAGTAGGAGAGCTGAAGCAAGAAGGTAGTGTCATCTTGTTTAATCTCTTCAGATGGTATTTTAGTGTTCTAGGGATGCTGTAACAAATTAACCATAAACTTAGTGTCATAAAACAAAAAGAAATGTATTCTTACTTTATTCTGGAGGCCAAGTCTGAAATCAATATGTTGGCAGGTCTACAATCCCTTTGAAGACTCTAGGGGAGAATCCTTCCTGGCCTCTTCCAGTTTATAATAATTCTTTGGATTATTGCCACACCACCCAAATCTCTGCTTCTGTCTTCATACTGGCCCTTGCCTCTTCTCTGTCTTCTCTTCTTTTATAAGAATCTTCATCACTAGACATAGGACCTGGATAATTCAGGATCTCATTTTGAGATTGCAAACTTAGTTACATCTGCAAAGATTCTTTTTTCATATAAGGTCACATTCACAGGTTATGGGGCTTAGAGCTTGGACATAACTTTTTGGATAACCACCATCCAGCCTGTAGAACATAAATGTCTCTCCTTTCTGACCCTGAAATTGACTGAAATTCATATCAACAACAATTGATTTGAAGTTTTCTGGCAATTAAGACAAAATCACCTAACTGGGCCTTAATTTCTATAAAAAGTACAGGAGACAGACCAAATACTTGCTGATATCTCTTCCAGCTGTGAGGTTTTTATAATCTCTTCAATACATAATAAAATGTCTTGTTGATATGATAACCTTTTCTTTCATCTGCTCTCTATATTATTACATTCACAGATGATCTTGAATAAGTATTGAATCTCCGCCCTAGTCCCTATCTTATTTCTTCTGCTTTATTACTACGAATAGTAATATTACCTACCATTTATTGAGGATTATTCTGTTCCAGGTACTTTTTCTATCTGTTTAGGTACATTATTTCATTTAAAAATTCAGGTGCTATATTTAGAAATTAGCAAAACTCAAAGAAAAAAGAACAGTAATGTTTTAAGCATCTATTTTGAGAATGTTAAAGAAAATGAACAGGAAAATAAACCCAAAACAGCAGAAATAAGGGCCAGGTGTGGTGGTCCATGTCTGTGATGGGAGGTAGAAGTAAGAGGATCATGAGTTTGAGGCCAACCTGGGCTACATAACAAGACCGTATCTCAAAAAAACCTAAAACAAAAAAAAAAAAAAAGAAAGAAAGAAACTACTAAAGATAAGAGGGTAAATTAATGCGCTGTCACATATAAAGAGAGGTATTTCAATTGGTTCTCTCTGTAGGCTACTCTCATGTATGTTACATTTGAATCCCCCTTTCTGCCTTTAGGAAAAAGATGCTGATTTTGTGTTTCACCTGTTCTTTCAGATAGTGACTCCTGGCCTTAAAGAGTGTTTCAAAGTTTCCAGAAGAAGTCCAAGAAGATTCCCAGGGGACTAAATAGGAGCATTTGTCAGCAGCCCCACATTGAATAAGCCTAAATAATTTACCCAAGCAACCCCCTTTGAGTTACCACATCAGACATTGCCTAAGCTAAGGAGAATAATGCTGATAAAGTGACCTGAGACACCTTAGAGAATTCACTGTGAAATTCAGTCTTGCTAGTACTCTGGAGTGGAAAATTCCTCATTCCCCTTGCACAAAATTCTCAGCTTCAACTGTAGAAAAGAAGCAACCTCTCAATGTAAAGAGAGTGGAAAAGGCATTGGTTCAAAACTTTCTCTCCCTAATAAACCCTGGCACAACAGAAACTCTAACTTAAATATAAGCATATCCAAACTGAAGGAGATCCCTATAAGCATAGGGAGACCTTCAGTGTATACCCAAGTCCCACTAAAAACCAGAGAGGCCATTCTAGAAAAGAGTTCCATGAGAGTAAAGAATGTGGTAAAACCTTCGGGTACTGAAATGATCTTGTCAGAATCTGAGAACTCTTGTGAACATCTTCAATGTGGGAGGCCTTCTATGTGAGCTCAAGTCTCATTAAATATAAGTCCATTTTAGCCTTATCTATGTCATGAGTGTGGCAAAGCCTTGAAGTTCTGTAATAACTTTATTAAACATCAGGGAATCTGCACTGGAGGAAAAAAAGAAAAACACGCGTGTGAAGAGTAGTTAAGGGTCCATTATGGTTGAACTTTGGTCACCCACCAAAAAACCCACACTGGATAGCACCAAATGAATGTAATGTGGAAGGGAAAGCCTTCAGTTGGAAGCCAGCACTTATTACTAGAAAACAAATATAAGAATATGAGTAGGTCTTTACTAAAAGTCAATCTGTCAGAAAATCCACACTGGAATACAACTCTATAGCTGTGACCACTACAAAGAATCTTAATAATGTTGGTTTATCAGGATTCCATCAGGAATTCCATGTGAAGAAAAGCTCTTTTCAATAATGTGTGCAAGCCTTTAGTCAAAGTTCAGATATTGTCAAACACATCCAAGTTCACACTAGGTACAAATCTTATGACTGGGACAAGTGGAAAACATTTTGATCAACTCATTCCTAACCAAACAACAGAAGATACATAACAAAAATGAACTTTAATAATCATTTGGTGTATATTATAGGATTTTTTCAATATCACATGTCACCATTAAGAGAAAGCCAGGTGCATATGGTTGCTTTAATGGGCATTATTTTATGGCATTAAAAATAGGTGTTATTAGAAAACAATTATGTTACTTCATGGGTAAAGTTGAATTAAATTATTGTGACAGATCTCTTTATTTCACTATGAGACAGCTTTTCATTCCCTATTGTAAAGATAGAGAATAGAAGTAAGTCTAATCACAACCTCAAATAATATAAACATTTATTACATTTTTTTAATTCATGATGATTAAACTATTTTTTCTGAGAATAATTTTGACTGATTCCTTGGACCCAATAAGTATGTCACCTCTACCAGACTACACTCTTTTACTTTTTTATGCTTAGTTGATCTGGGAAATGCTGTAAATCCATAATTGGTTTTCATAAAATTTCCTGTTTGTTAAAAAAAAAAAAGGTGGATGAGCTTTGTGAACTGTGATATGTACAAAAACAGATCATATTTGCCATGACCTTTGTGTCTCAACACACAGAGCAATGACATACAGTAAAGGCCTTCAAGACATGCTTGTTGAATGACTACTCAAAGAGGTCTATATGGGTTGGTGTCAATTCAGCCTAAAGAGAGACTTCTAGTAGTTTGCCATAGGTTTGTGCCCTCTTCCCAGACTTGATCAGTGAATGACCTTGGGTGATCAGTGTAGATTGATTTTGTATGCAGCCTTACTTTCAGTTTTATATAGTTTAATCTTTTCTCTTTACCTGATTCCCAACCCACCCTTAAATATTTATTTTACAAAACCGGCCTTGTGTTCTATATTGTTTTGTTTTTTGAGATCTATTTATATTAATATATACTAATAATATAGCTCATTCCTCTAATGAAGACCATTGGGGTTTTTAATCAACTCATTATAAACAATCTTGCTCTGAACACCTTTGAGAGAGTTTTCTGGGAATTAAACTCACAAGCAAAATTGCCAAGTCACAGATACGTGCAGTGTCCATTTCACTAGCATGGCAATGATTCCTGTCCCTCATGAGCTAAAGGACCTGTCCAGTGTCATAACCTGATCATGGTAACACCTTTTCTGAATGGGTTCTTGAAAGTAATGGACAACTAAACCAACCAAGCACATATGGGCTGGCAGCCTGGGGTGAGATGAATCTCAAGGTAAGAATTAAATAACTTTAACTTCAAAAAATAATTCCTGAGCCAGGACTGGTGGTATATGTGTGTAATTGTAGCACTCGAGACTGAGGTAAGAGGATTAAGTTCAAGGCCAGCCTGTGCTATATAGCAAGACTGAGTCAGTCTGTCTGTCTCTCTCTCTCTCTTTCTATCTATCTCTCTGGCACAAATACACACAAAACTAAATTTTCAGACGTCTAATAAAATAACCTGATTCTATTACTTAAAATGTAATTTAAAAGCTACTTAATCAGAGCACAATGAGTAAAGGGGAAAATGCAATGTTTTTCCTTCCTTTTCCTAAGAATATCATCCCAGGAAAAGGAAGCAACAGGTGAAAAGTGCTGTCATATTGGAGAAATGGCAAGGACAGTGAAACAGCAGGAATGAGGTCAAAGAGGTTAGGGGAGAGAGTATGAAGAAATGAACTTGTAGGCCAATTTTTGGACTTTGAGTTCTTGTGAGTAAAATTGAAAGCTGTTGCAGGGTTTTGAGCAAAGATATGACGTGTCCTGGGTTTTAAAAGTTATTTGTCTAGTTGCTTTGTTAAGAATAGACCATATGGGCTGGAGGCATGCTCAAGTGGTAGAGCACCTGCCTAGCAAGCCCTGGGTTCAAACAAGTACTACCAAAACGGCATCATCAGAGTGAAAAGACAACCTAAAGAAGGGGAGAAAATATTTGTAATGCTACACTTGACTAGGTTAGTATCCAGGATATATAAAGAACCCCCAAAACTCAACAACAAAACAACACGATTTAATACTAGATCTAAACAGACGTTTCTCAAAAGACATACAAAATGCTCAACATCACTAATCAGAGAAATGCACATCAAAACCACAATGAGATAATCACCTCACTCCAGTAAGAATGGCTGTTATTGAAAAGTGCTGGTGAGTATGTGGAACAGAGAGGATGGGGCGCCCGTTTAAAATGACGCAGAATAGGACTTAAATTTCTTGGCTCCAAAACGTGCGACTTCCCCCAACAGTTTTATGAGTCACATTTCTTGGGTGCAAGGTTTCCTCATAAACACGTAATGGGGACGTTGCTGCTTTCCAGGAGACTGGGTGTGCGGAGACTGGTTTGGACTGTGAAGGAGGCTGAGCACCACGCAGGCAGCTCAGGAGAGGTAGAGAGCCGCCAGCGGGGCCTGCCAGGGAGAGGAAAAGAGAGTTTTTGCCCGTGCTCAAACGCTCCTCACTACGTGGCCGAAAAGAGTCGGCCATTCTAAGGCTTTGGAGTGAAGAGTCGGGGTTAAAGAACGGTTGACAAAGATGCTGGAGTCAAGGGTGAAGTACATAGCGACCCACTGCTCTCTTTGCCCAGCTGGGGCTGCCAGGGAGCGCCCTCCTCCAGTAGAGATCGCATTACAGTAGCTGCAGGAGTAGTAGATGGGCTGACCTACAAAGACCACTCTCTGCACCCTCAGCAACAGTTTGACCCTAAGCCGTTCGTCTTGGTTTGCCACTGTCATTAAGTTCTAGCTTAGGTAAGTACCTGGCTTCCCTGACAACTATGTTCTAGTTACAGTAAATCTTTATCTTCCAAGAGGACCTCTCACCTCGAGACTCTTCCTGACCCCCTGTACCCTTAACCAAGTGATCATGTAAATTTTGTCCAGAGCCGTTGCAGCTCAAGATGTTCGCTAAGCAGAGATATGGTGTAACCGTGACCCTTGTGGCTCCCAATGCCCAAGCAAGAAGGTTGGCACGTAGAGAAAGTGGAAGAGAAGCACATGCTTGGGAAACATTGAGACTACCTTAGAATGTTCACCCTCACCTACATTTCAAGCAGGAAGACCCTGGATCCCAGGAGGTTCTGGGCAGCTCCAGGAATTGTCAGAGCTGGCTGAAGCCAGCTTCTCAGCCAAGAAAAGATCCTGGAACTAACGGTGCTGTCCAAAGATCTTTGGATTTGGGTGCAAGAGAATCATACAGAGGGGGGTTAAAATTGACATTATCTGTGCTAGAGAATCTGAAGACAAAATTGGAGATGCAGCCAGCAGGTGAAAAACGAATAATCTGTTATTCTGTTATAAAAAGTCTAAATCCTGGACTTCCAAGTATGGGGGGAGACAAGCAAATCAATATCTTGTGTCCTTTCTCACTGAGCTATGCGGTATCGTTTTGATTTTCTTCTTCAAGGCTGTGCTACTCACAGCTTTTGAAGATTGATTGAGATATATGTCTCTGTCTCCTGACTCTACTAGAAATTTTCTTTTTAACCAAATTCTGAGGTCTTAGTTATTAGTGATAGTTTCTCAAACCCAACTGAACCTACTTGTAAAGGAAAAGATAGTGGTCAGAGTGCCAGATTTCATTTCTAGGCCACACCACTTAGCTCTGTAATCTTGGGCAAGTTACTTAATCTCATCATTATCTGTACAATGAGAATAATTTTTATCTTTAAGCTCCAGCCCATGCACCCAAACAGAAAGTGCTCTAGAAGGAGGTGAGATGTTCACATTCACCAGAGAAGTAATGAGGGCTGGTGGAGTGGCTCAAGTGGCAAAGCACCTGCCTAGCAAGTATGAGGCCCTGAGTTCAGACCGCAAAACCACCCAAAAAAAAAAAAAGAATGAACTTTGGGAGCCCATGATATAAAAAAAGATACTTCTCAGAAGAAATGGTGTCCTTAGTGGCAGTACAATGTGCCTGTCTTTATGCTTTTTATGAGGACAGCCAGGTCTGATCTGAGTAGAGATGAGGCAGAAATTTCATTGTGCAGGTGGTGACACCTTGCTGTGAGTCACACAAAACCAAAAACTTATCTTCAGAGCAAACTTCCAAGTTGCCAGGTCGAAAGAGGCTTGAGATCTGGATATTCCTGCTCTTTATATTGTTTTCTTTTTCTCATATGATTGTACTCCTTGAGTGGCCTTTCTACCATCATTTAGTTTTGGATCAGAAGAACAAGATGTAGTGCTTTCCATTTAACCTTCCATGCTCTATTAACTACTACAAAATACAACCTGTTTTGGTAAATGAGAAAAAGAATGCTACTTTTATGAAAGCACAAATCAGAGAAAACATACCTGACTGATGAGGTGTATGTGTTTGTATAATGAAACATACAGACATTTCCATCAGATTAACAACATACCAGCTGAAAGCCACCTGTTTCCCTCACAGTAGAAAACATATATTCTATAAAAATCTTAGTTTGATAGCCACTTTTTTTTTGCTTGGGGAGACTTAATGCTTCCCCCGAGGAATTAAGTGGATTTTATACAGTAGACATCAACAACATCCTCTATGACAAGTAGAAACCAGATTGCTACCTGACCTTATTCACATGGAAGCATTAATTTAAATTGAAATGATATAAAACATAAGCATTTAGGAACTTAGAGTTTTTCTCCTTGGTATATTAGTTTTAAATTCCTGTCAAAATATAAATATGGTCACCTACCCTAATATTAATTTCAGTAGAATAAGCATTTAACTATTTTCTCTAGTCCCTTCCCAGTATTTATGTTTAAAACACATAAAATCATTCCAAGTCAAAGTACAAGATAAACGCATTCTTCTTTAGGCTGCCCTTCCAGAAGAAAAAGTGGAAAAATCACATACTTGTTAATGGATAGGAGAGCAACCAAGTTCAAGGGATCTTCCAGCTTCAATTAGGAGAGTAAGAGGGAATCATTGATGTCCCTGGGCCAGACGTGTCTTCACCCCTGACACAGGGCCTAGAATAATCCAGCTAAAGGAATGATACTTTTTTCGTTTTCTGAGCCTGGCTAACCTCGCTCAGAATGATGTTCTCCAGTTCCATCCATTACTTGAGAATAATAAGATTTCATTCTTCTTCATGGCTGAGTAAAACTCCATTGTGTATAAATACCACATTTTCTTAATCCATTCGTCTGTAGTGGGACATCTTGGTTGTTTCCATAATTTGGCTATTGTGAATAGTGCTACAATAAACATGGGTGTGCAGGTGCCTCTAGAGTAACCTGTGTTGCATTCTTTGGGTATATCCCCAAGAGTGGGATTGCTGGATCATATGGCAGATCTATGTTTAGACTTTTAAGAAGTCTCCGTATTTTTTTCCAGAGTGGTTGCACTAGCTTGCATTCCCACCAGCAGTGTATGTGGGTTCCTTTTTTCCCACATCCTCACCAACACCTGTTGTTAGTGCTGTTTTTAGTGATGGCTATTCTAACAGGGATGAGGTGGAATCTTAATGTGGTTTTGATTTGCATTTCCTTTATGGCTAGAGATGATGAGCATTTTTTCATGTGTTTTTTAGCCATTTGAATTTCTTCTTTTGAGAAAGTTCTGTTTAATTCACTTGCCCATTTCTTTATTGGTTCATTGATTTTGGGAGAGTTTAGTTTTTTGAGTTCCCTGTATATTCTGGTTATCAGTCCTTTGTCTGCTGTATAGCTGGCAAATATTTTCTCCCACTCTGTGGGTGGTCTCTTCAGTTTAGAGATCTTTTCTTTTGTTGTGCAGAAGCTGACACACAAGTATTCTTTTTTTTTATTATTGTTTTATTATTCATATGTGCATACAAGGCTTGGGTCATTTCTCCCCCCTGCTCCCAACCCCTCCCTTACCACCCACACGTATGTTCTCCCTCATATGTGGACTTTAGACATAAGGCAAATACAGCAATGTAGTTGGACTTGTGTCACATGATAAGGGGTGAGCACTCACGGGGAGTATGGGGATAGCTAAGAAACCCAAAACAGGAAAGTTTTTGATGTCCCTACTATAGAGGAACTAATGCAGAAACCTTAAAGTGACAGAAGTCAATATGAGAAGGGGATCAGGAACTAGCGAAAATGTCAGGTAGAGATGAATCAACTTGGGATGTAACACATTTGTACATGGAAGCAATGCTAGGAATCTCTCTGTATAGCTATCCTTATCTCAACTAGCAATAATGCTTTGTCTTTCTTATTATTGCTTATACTTTCTCTTCAGCAAAATTAGAGATAAGGGCAGAACAGATTCTGCTTGAAAGCGAGGGTTGGTGGGAGGGAGAGGGAGTAGGTGGGGGGGTGGGGGAATAGGGGGAGAAATGCCCCAAACAATGTATGCACATATGAATAAATGAATAATAATGGTAATAATAATAATAATACAAGGAATGATACTTGTTGACAAAGAATGTCTCTTGGTTTTTCTCAGGTCACACTGAGAAAAACTGAGGGGACATTTGACATTTAAAAAGAAGGGAAATAAATCAGATCCATGAGAACTAGAGATGACAAAAATGATACTCATCTTCTACAACTAGGTACTCTTCTAAGCAGATTAGCATCCCAAATAGCTGCATCGGTCAATTGATCTCCCGAATATTTGGAGCTTCTTGCCATGAGATCATGATAGAGATTGAAGTTATGAATTTAAAGTCAGGAGAAAATGAGAATACAATGTTTCCTCTGATTCGTATTGTATTTTCAGTGGATGTAGTTATAATGAATGGTAAGAAGACATAAGTTGAAGTAATTAATAATTTAAAGTATTTTAAATCTAATACTATAGTTTTAAAGAAAAGCAACCTGATCTTTACATCTTTATGGGCTTTCCTCATCTACAAACCAAGACCCCATAAACTAATTACAACAGACCCTCAGTGGTAACCCCAGCACATGCTACTATAAGTATTAAGCAGGGTATTTATTAAGCATCTCTTTATATAATAAACTATTTTAAAGATATATGCAGAAATGAGTAGGAAATAAATTAATAGTTGAGGAACTTACAATCTAATGATAGAGAATAAGCAACAGAAACAAGTAATCATAAGGTCCAGGTAAACAATGTTAAAGCAGTCTTGTTCTTTCTGGAGGAATCTTGACTAGAGGATTCAATGGGGGGTGACAGAAAAGAAGACATTGTTACTAAACTTTTAAAAGAAAACTGCAAGAACAACTTTGAAGAAAGGGAACAAATTGTTGACACCTCATTTATGATTACAATATTTATAAAGATGATAATTGCAACAAAACAATGAGCTTTCTTTGCAAAGAAGCACTTTGTCCCATGCACACGCATTCCCACTTATCTGCAGTTTAACTTTCTGTAATTTCAATTACCTGTAGTCAACCACATACAAAAATGTTGAATGGAAAATTCCAGAAATAATTCATGAGTTTTTTATTGCTTGTCATACTGAGTAATGTGATGAAATATCACAACATTGTACCCTGTCTCACCAAGAATGCTAATCATCCTTTTGAATGTGACTCTTCCACAGAATATCACACTGCATATGCTTCGTGTCCACTACTTACTAGCCAACTGTTATCAGATTGAATGCAGCACTGTACTTGTGTTCATATAACTCTTACATAGTAGCCTAATGTATGTCATGATGCCTATGTCATCCGCCTCCTTCAATTCATTATAAAGTCATTGTATCATCTTATATTACAAGAATAAGGGTGTGGGTACAGTATAATAAGATATTTTGAAAGAGAAACCACATTCACGTAACTTCTAGTATAATATGTTAGAGTTGTTTTGACTTTATTATTAATTATTATTATTAATCTCTTATTGTACCTAATTTATAAATTAACTTTATCATAGGTATATATATATATATATATATACATATATATATATATGCACATATCTATAGATGATAGAGAGATGGACGGATGGATGGATAGATAGATGTGAAAAATCAATATATATAGCGTTCAATGCTATCCTCAGTTTCAGTCATCCACTGGAGGGCTTGGGTATCTCTTGA